TTCTTCATTTCAATATATTGTATTCATAAATAAATTGTATACGTTTATAATTGAATAAATAGCTACAGGAATATGGCTTTAGGAAGGCTTTAAAACCTTTAAAAAATAATGGAATTTGAGAACCTAAAACAATTTATCTGAAGGTCAGAGGAAGTAAGCATATGTACAAGTATAGAATCGTGAGATCTCGAAGAATGACCATTGCATTTAGAAGGGACCGCTATATGAGTTGGAAGGAGCTGCTGGAGCGCCATATTGGTTGCCGTTGTTGCCTCCGTTGCCGTTTCTTCCGTTACCGTTGCCATTCCTTCCATTGCCATTAAGGGAGAGGCCGTTGGTGGCGGCAGCATAAGCATAACCGGCGTCGGGAACGACTCCGATGAGCTCGTTGACGGAGTAGAAGCTCTCAGCTTGAGAACAGTCCACGTTGAACCACCAGTCACATACCAGGTACTGCTGGTTGAAGATGGTACCGTTGGGGCACAGGAAGGAGTCCTGTTGGCGCCTGAGGGCGCGGTCCTGGCAGATATGGAACACCTGGCAGCCGGCTTCAGCTGCAGTGTCGGCGTAATAACCTTGCACCGCCTGGGCATCGCAGGAGAATCCGGTGTCGGGCACGGAAGCCAAGATGGGGTAGTCCTCGCCGGGGACGCCGCCCCCTGGAATGTTCTCGGCCAAAGCGGCGATCTCAGGGTCTACTCCGTAGCCACCGTTGGGCGTGCCATAGGTGTTGCTTGGGGGCGCATACCTGTTGCCGTTTCCATTGAATCCGTTGCGACCGTCCGCCAGAACGATGCCGATGATAGCTGTTGAATTTAAATGTGATTAAGTCTTTTTACTTACATCTACATGCAAGCTTTTTTTTTTTTTTTTTTTTTTTTATATATATATATATATACGCACATAAATAAAAGAAAGACTTACCTGAAAATATGAACGATTTCATTTTGAAGAGAAGCCAAGTCTGACGTAGAAGCGAGACAGGAGACTGGTGTTAAGCGAAGACACCGTTGGCAACATTATATACTCATGGTCCAGTTGTGGCTCCGCCCTCTGACCTTTATTCCGAGCTCATGATTCTTCTGGCGACATGAAGAGTATTTCAGCAATAAAGGAAAGATCTTTCTCTCGTGGTCAGGGTCTAGTCCAAGCAAGCAACCCTAAAGAAGGAGTCTCAACAGGTCACTGACCTCCTTGTGGAAAATGAGAACATGTGTTAGCTAAAGAGAGTAACAATTCCTTTTCGATCACATTCCACTCATCCCTAGAAGATAAGACCTGAAGAATGCCTCCAGAAGATTTAACAGTATCCTTTAGATGCTCTGGCACATAAACGTAATAAATCTCAAAGTCGATCGAGACCACAACAGATATGCAACAGAAGAGACATGGATTTGAATTCTAGTGGGCCTCGTGTTCTGCATAATAACAACTTAAGTGGTATCAAGGGCGTTTTCTCAGTTCATTATCTTCCTATCAATGAATTTAAAGTTAGAGTTCAGTTAGAAATGAAGAAATACATTATGTATGGATTGCACTAACGAGAAAACTCGTCCAAAGAAAATAAAAGAAAAAGGTGAAGTAGTAGAAAAAGAAACAACGGATGAGAAATAAAACAATCACTAAAATAAACTGCACACTCTCAGTCTAATAAAATGGTGGTTGATATATCGATCGTAAAGCAGCCTTCGCGGGGTGAACCAGAACTGAGCTAAAATCATCATATCATCATTATTGATTTAATAATTGCCATAATCATTATTCTATCATGTGGAACATCCATGCTATAATCATTACTTTTATATTTTTTTCTTTCTTTTTCTCTTTTATCATAACAAGAGATAGAGAGATAAGCAGGTAGATAAATCAGACAGTCAGACAGATAGAAGGATAGGAAGAAAGGGAGAGAGAGAGAAGGGAAAGAGAGAGAGAGAGAGAGAAAGAGTAGCATGAAAGGTATTCATCATGAAGGTTAAGATCTTCCAAATAAACACATAAGCAAACTGACGAGCGAAGAGGAAGCCAACCCAAGAAGGCTCAACACGCACCAGCCCGATCTGGAAAGCCCGACCCGTGTTAGGCGTGTGGTAGCGTTGCAGATGACTGGAATTTAACACAAGATCACTAACTCACTCTGGGCGTTTAAGAGTGCACGACTGGGGCGGCCTGGTCTCCTTTCCCGGACAGACTGCTCTGGAACCAACGTGAGGGTGTGAAGGTCGCAGGATCAAGCCATGCGAGGTCGAGCGCCGCCGACGGAGAGAGGGAAATGTTTCGAAGTAATTCGCATTGTTGGATCTGTGTGTAATATGGTAAAGCGTGCAAATTGCTAAATCTATCTGTAAATGTATGTGCATATACATGATCGCGCGTGCACACACGAGCACACACAGACAGCCACACACACGCACACTGCCACAAACACAAAAGAACAAATTCCCACATACACACATACATATGTATGCGTACACACACACACACACACACACACACACACACACACACACACACACACACACACACACATATATATATATATATATATATATATATATATATATATATATATATATATATATATATATATATATATATATATCAAGCGTGAGGTGAGAGTTTCAGAAGCGAGATAAATGAAAGAGTTTTCTAGACTCGAGTGACTGATCGCTGTGTAGGAAGGAATTCTTATCAAACTATTCTTCTTTTTATTCTATTCATCTGTCTGTTTCTCTTTTATCACCATTATATCTGAGAGATGCTCTGCACGCGCGCTCCTGTCGGGCTCGCTGAAACGCCTTTCTTTTGCGAACAAACTATGGAGGGTTCTCAACCTATAATGCACACTACCCCCCCCCCAACACACACACACACATACGTATATATATATATATATATATATATATATATATATATATATATATATATATATCTATATATATATATATATATATATATATATATAGTATATATATATATATATATATATATATATATATATATAATATATATATATATATATATATATGTATATATATGTATATATATATATATGGTTATATATATATACATATATATGTATATATGTATATATATATATGTGTGTATGTATGTGTGTGTGTGTGTGTGTGTGTGTGTGTGTGTGTGTGTGTCTGTGTGTGTGTGTATATTATATGTATATATATATATATATAATATATATATATTATATATATATATATATATATATATATATATATATATATATATATATACATATATATATATATATATATATATATATATATATATATATATGTATGTATGTATGTATATGTACACACACACATGCACACATATGTATGTTGTATGAGAATTTTTCATATACAAAATATAGATATATTTTGCTCAATCTTTACTAAATTTACTAGTATCAATCTTGTCAATATCCACTCAAACACAAATGACAAAAGGAAATTTATTAAAATGAGTTGAAATATACCTATATTTTGTGAATGAATAATTCTCATATGACATTGGTAGGCAGCGGTTTGGGATGGATGTTGCTCCCTGTTAGTGTGAGAAACTTTACAGTAGTCTAAAATGTTTCATCGGTGGTAAAATAAGTATCGATAAATAGGGTTATCAGTTGTCACTGGGCATGGCATACATGGTTCAAGAAGTGTTGGCAGCAGTGATAAAGCGCCTACAGGTGTGCAGAGCAACCCACAGACATTGACGTCAACACAAACAAAGCAGTTAAGACCCGACTCGCCCCTGAGGAGTAACCAGCAAAGGCGGCAGGAATAATCCGCTAGTTGAACCATCTATCTCCAGAGCCGGAACAGCGTCCAGGAGTCAACGTTTAGGCCTACCGAGAACAGCTGGGTTGAACGGAAAAACTACCAGTGGCGCAGTCATCGGGTTGCGATAGACATCAGTAAACTAGCAAGGAAGGAATGATAGACACTATTGTACACTTCTGCTCGGCCCCAAGGCTATCACTTAAGGGCGAATGTCCAACGGGACAGAGTGATGCGGGTGAGAATATGATGTGGTGTCGCAAGAGGAAAATAGTATGCTGAAAATCTTAGAGTAGAAACGAGGTTGAGTATGATCTGATGTCACCGCCAACGTCTCCATTAGTTTATTAGTAGTAAGCAAGGTTAGAATTAATGAATATTAATGTCATTCTCTGAAATGAGTCACTGTCACTTCTAAAGATGCCATGAAGTGCCATGCCAAATTATATTCGTGTATTGTAGATGTTTATTGATTTTCTTTGAAAATGACATTTTTTACTATGTATTGTATAATTGGTGTTTATATTTGTTTCATGTATGTGTTTTCTTTTTCAGTCAGGAGTCTTGCATGTTTGCTTTTCAATAGGCCTACCATATTTCACTATAGAGATATTTCCGGAGGGGGAACCCATGTCAAGATCGTTATTGATTTTATTTTTAAAGGATTCATTCGATATAATTGTAAAAATGTATAAACCCCACTGAAAACGTGCATATAATATTTTATAAAGTCATTTCAATATTACAAAATCTATTGGTATGACCAACAGTTTAGATTATAGTAATTATCAAGAAGTCGTTGGTTTATATGAATATTAATAATTCAGTGGGGGAAAAGCTGTAAACAGTTTTATCATCGTGCTCCCTTGTCAGACGGCATCGTTGTTTCACCCCGAGCACAGGTATGTAGAATGCTGTTATCTAAAAACATGTTTTGGCCGGATATTGGAGGTTGTGGTGATTAATAAGTGAATTAATATGATTGTGAATCCCTGTGTACTGAATTGTAATAATTTAAACAGAATTGTTGCTTCACTCCGCACACAGAGAAGAATAGGTCGATAAAATTTGTGGGGAAAACAATACGCCATGACACTTGCCTAGTTGTTGGGAAATATTTATTCATTTTTGGCCTGTGGATACAGCAACGGAATTCATCGAAAGAGACAGTTCCAATAGTGTCAAGGAATAAACTGAGTGGAATTATATATAAGCGTAACG